TTGATTCTGAAAACTGCTGTTAGGAAACCATGTTATTTGGAAACAGCAAGGTAGACTCAGAAGGAATTTATCCAAGAAATTAAGAGGGTTGGTTTGGGGGTAAGAGACAGAAAAGTTTCAGGGTAATGAGAATGGGGTCAAACATGATTGCTATACCTGGAAATCTGCTTGCGAAATCCAGAGTTAGGAACACTGGGTCTATATGCATCAGTGAGTCTTTAAAATGTGGGAGATTGAGGATGGAGACAATCACAACAAATCCAGGTCTAACCAGAGATCAACCCACCTGTGACAACAATTAATGCTTCCAGTTAATATCTCATGCATATATTGCTCCCCAGAATGAGCTTGATATCTCATCTTTATGAGAAGCACACAGCTTGGCTAGAAAAAAATCAAGTCTAGCTCTCTCATATTGCACTTGCATGTCAGGAAAAGCAAAATGAGAAAAAAAGGCACTCAACCCTTCCAGTAGGTTACCCTGAAGTATCAGTGCCACTGTGAAAGCTGAAGTCAAACACAAAGTTTGGGGTTTATGCCTGTATCTTAAATTCCTGGCTATTATTGGATTCATTGCTCAACCAGAAAACTGCTTTTTCCAACTGATAGCCTTGTAAAATCATAGTGGAAACAGAAAATACTGTGTACTTTGGCTGAGGCATTACCAACCATAAAGATCTGGCAACTGCACCTTGCGAAACAATTTTGCTAATTATATTTAAATTGGAGTGAATCAACCCTTCCAACTCTGAATAAAGAGCAACTTTATTTTTCCCAAGGAGAAAAGCAGATGGGAGACGGGATGCATTCAGGTGAGCAGGTTTTTAACAGGTGCTCCGGCACTGAGATGTAACACCACTCTAACAATACCCATTCACTGGGCTGGTGCAAGTTATTACACTGTGTAAAGTAAAAGAAGATCTAAAGTTAAAGCTCTGTAGTTACTCCACAACAGCTCATGTGTGAACAGAAGGTAAAACTTCGTAATTACTCCACAACAGTTCCTATGTGAACAGTCTGATATCAGAGTATCATTTTCTTCTTGGTTAACTTTTTCTGCATGTCCATGATATATTAAGCTTGTTCATGAAAAAAAAAATATCCCTCTTCTATATGTGAATATACATCAGTTTTTGTAAGAAAGGGCTGGTAGTCCTTTAGCTTCTGCTTTTCTACTGACTGGTGGCAGTACATCACGTATCCTGCAGAAGTACAATTAGCAAATGCCTTAAGATCAAAGGAACTACAGCATTTTAGAGTCTGGCAACAGAGTGGGTCACAAAAGGTCAGAAAGCATTCTTTCTGTAAAAATAAGTGTCCCGAGTTATTTTTAAGATCACCCATTTATGTTAGAAGCAACTTTCTCAGCAAGTATAGTAGGCATGTTTGGATGGTGATACAGAAATCTGAGATGACTAAATGAGTGATAATGTCGTTCTCCATAGTAAATTTACCTCAATGAAAAGAATTGTACAACATATTGTACACATTTTTCATGCCCAATCAGTAGCATTATAGGTTTTATTAATTGTAAAATCCTGTTAGTACCCTGTAGTATACTGCTGTAAATTCCAGCAAAGTGAATTTTGGAACTCTGATACTGCTGCTTGTATGGTTCTACATCAGATTCCTACGTGTTTAGGAATCATTCATGTGGTTTAAGTGGTTTGGGTTTACATCATCTTATTGCTTATTTGGCCCAATTTGAGCACATGATCTTTCCCTTAAAGGGTGGTACTCTGTGTACTATGTTACTCAAAGAGTTGGCAACTTCTTAAAGATTTAAAAGATGCTACTTGTAGAGCTTGGAGGAGTTGAAGGCTTTTAGCAAAATAATTTAGGTGGAGTGTTGTTTAATTAATATTACTATCTCAGGGAGAATTTACTCTTATAGAAGATGACCTTGATTTCACCCTTGTGAGAGAAGGAGGGAAGACTCACCTTTCTCATAAAGGTGTTTTTAACTACAGTATAAGACCCAGCCAGCCACCTAAACAGTTAGACATTTCACACACTGAATAATTCTGCCTGAAAACTGGTGCTGCACCTGTTGTGTCACAGCTCTATGATCACATGGTACTGTAATGCATAATCTTTTCATAATCTTTCTTTTAAATAATCGGGATCATTATGGTGATAAAGCAAATTAATTATTAATTTTATCCATTTTAGGGAATGCAATCTAGGTTTCCCAGACAGGAATTTTAGTCTATTTGCACCCCTTGAGTTACCAAAAATGCTATTTCAGAGGGAGTGCAAATAGGACTTAGGAGTTACTGCATCTGGACAATATACATCTTCCTTTCAGGTAAATGCTGCACGATGAATGACCAATTATTTGGTAACTTGGCAGTCCTTGTGCATGAAGCTGGCCAGGGGAGTGCGTTGTCTTTCTCAACCTAAGCAATATGGGAGGCATCAACAGTTAAATTTAGAATTCCTTTATGAAATTGGCTTGTGTGAACAACATAGATCCTTTTTTTCTGTATCCATTTATGTTATTTCTATATCTAAAGTAAAGGTTATCTCATTCCTCTGGATGGATTTCTATCACAGCATAAATAGAAAACACAAGGCCTATGTGCATGCTTACTTTTGAACAAGTGCCGTATTTTTGCTTAGCCACCAAGTAAATATATATTTAGAGGAATGGCATTGATATGAGACTTATTTAACTTAAAAAAAAAATCCCTGTTAATTCAAGGATTAACATAGTTCTGCTTTTGAAGGAGAGGAGATATGTGATGGTACCAACAAGATTCGTTATGTTTAATTCACAAAATACAGTTATTGCAGACTGAATGAGGAATTTCCATATGCCTTTTTTTTAAATCCATTTTAGCCATATTACCAGATATGGGATGAATTGTGAGGTAAATAATCCACCAACTGCAGATAACTGAACCAGAAATAGTATGTAAATTCTGTTCCGAACTCACCTGCAACAGACTGAATCTTTTGCTGTGGGATACTCAACTTCCCAACTTTAAATTCAGGATTTCAGATAGATAATAGTTAAGAAATAGATGTAGACCTAGCACAATAATTAAAAAGAGAGGAAAAAAAAAGAAGATTGCCTCTCTGTCAGTCTTTCATATATTAAAGCAACTCTTTGTGAGTAGAAAGTAGAATGAAATAAAGCTCTTCTGGGCCAGCTGCAGGGAAATTTATCATGTATTTAACATGTCCTAAATATTTTAAGTATTTCAGGATAAATTTGTACGACCTGAAAATATTTCTTCATATGTTTAATATCCTCATACTACTCTTAAAATGTTAGATTTTTTAAATTCTGTATTTTTCAACACAAATTTGCAAAGGCAAGTAGACTTTCTACATGGAAGACTTTGTTAACAGTTTTCATATGCCTTAATATTTGAATTGAGTCACTTAGATAAACAGTTCTGTTTATCTAGTAAGTGAAATGCTGATTGTGTTGTAAATCATATCTTGAAATGGGGCCACTAACACCTGCTATCCCTTGCTATAGCCTTTAACACAAAAGCACTTTGAAACTGACAAAAAAGAAAATGGTGGTAAACAACATTCATTTAACTTGAATAGAAATCAAAATTCTTTAAAAAGCAAGAAAGCAAGATTAGTGTCATCTATTCTTGGTGGTTTGTTGCTTAGGTAGGACTGTTGGAGGTAGTAGCTCTTTGCTTTTTTGACATTTTGCAATCTGACAAGTTAGTTGAGTAAGTTGAGTAGCAAATGAGTAGACAACCAAAATCTGCTTATAAACAATCAGATTGAGTTTATTTGATAAAACATTTGCTTCTCTGATGCTCCAAACTTTTGTTGAAAACAAAATTGAATTCTTGAGGTCGCAAAGGTGGTCTGGAAAATATTAAATCTATATAAACAAAGGAAGGAACTTTGAGGTGCTTAGATCCTATGCTAATAGATGCAACATGAAATACTTGACCTGGATAGTGATATCAAACCAAGCCTGAAGCCAGCCTAAAACAATGGCTTGAAGCAATTCCTGCACATTTGAAAGAGATGTTAACTTTGAAGCTGCATGAGAATGTTGCCAACAGTGTTAGTTTTTTCGCTGCCAAGAATGATCATGCTAGGACAATGTAATCTTCACACATACTCATTAAGCAATAGGATCAAATCAAACATCATGTTTGGGGTCTAAATAAACATTATCTTAGGATGCTCTTCAATTTAATATTCATGGGTGGTATTAATTTCACCGAATTTTAGGTGCCTAGGGTTCTCACTTATACACCTAAGCTAGTCATCTGAGGTCCTTTAATATCACTTACCTCACCATAAATGATAATGTTAAAAGTAATTTGTCCCCTGGAATTCCCTATTCCCTCATACCAAGACTATATAGATGACCAGCTCTGATCAGATGTTCACAGTGGAGACAGTGATAAAGTAGGATGGAGGGATATTGCACTAAAAGTCTGCCACAAAAAAAAAATTAGCTTTGTGGAACTGGAGATTTGCAGGTGGACTTTAACACTTAAGAGCTATTACTTTCTTTCACTTGCCTACCTTTAATAACAGCAGTTATATGTTAACTGTGTCCCAGATAACAGCCTGTCAAGTCCCATCCACGCTTTACTGAACAAAAATCTAACCCCAAATTTAATCTGTAATGGAGCCAGACATGAGGCATCACCCATCCTTCAGGTGAACCTAAATGAAGAAATGGTAAGTCTGAAACTCTTACTTTAAATGAACACAGATGTGGGAATTGGAACTGTTACCCTCAGCTTCACTAATGAGACATTTAAGCTACTCTCTTTCCCTTTCTCATAGTGCTCACTCCTTCTCTTTTGAAAGGACAAAAAAGAAAATTCTCCATTATTTGTGAAGCAGGAAGGAACCTGTACCTTGACAGCTAATAGCACTGTAGGAAACTTTTACTGTAGGTATTACCAAATGCTAAAACTAACGTTAGACACTCCCAATGCTCTATTGTGCTTTACAGTAAACAAATAAAATCTGTACTTTTTATCTTTGAAAATGTGACTCACTCACTTCAGCAGTGAGATGCAGTCCCTGTACTTCATACAACACAGCTGGAGCCCTGTCTGAAGCATCAGTAGAACATCCTGTCTGGCCACACGATGCATAAACACTGCTCACTGAATGGGACTTAATCTGATGTTGATCTTCACGCAGTTGGTGATACCATATGTTTTTGTGTTTTAATGGTTATCCTGTTTATCTCATCTTTCTGACTTAAGGCCAAATCCTTCTGTTGAATAGATACACTATTAATACAAGCTGAAAATTAAACAACAAAAAGGCTTAATCATTAAGAGCATGCGTTAGTCTAAGTAAGTGGTCACAAAAGTTTGTGTTAGCCTCATGTCCTCTCTGAAAAGTGCCCAGCTGTCTTGGGTTTGCGTCTATTGTACCACTTGCTGCAAATCTGTGAAAAAGTTAGGTATTTTACCAAAGATTTTTTTTATTTTTCCTGGATTATGTAGGTATACCCTTTTCATTGATAACAGTACAAATTCCAATCAAATCAACACAAGAAGGAAGAATTAAACTCTCTGAAAGGGTACTCTTTCACACTTGGTATCCTGTTCATTTTACCTTTGCAAAATACTACATAATTTTGAAATACTCTGCATATAAAGTGATTAATGGAAAAGGCTGTCTTGGTGTGTCACTAACCACATACTTCAACTATATAGGTAAATTTTTTTAAAGTAGTTGGCAATTGAAACATTTGTTATGGTGGAAGAAAATACTGTATGTGAGAGCTACTGAAGTATTGGTGTACTTTCCATAGCTTGTGAGTGAGTAAATATTTAATAGGGGCTGGCTAGAATTTCAGATAGGGTTGCAGAAGATGGTGGGTTGACTCTGGCTGCACATGAGGTGCCCACCAAAGCTGCTCCATCATGGCCCTCCTCAGCTTGACAGGGGAGAGAAAATATAACAAGAGGCTTGTGGGTCAAGATAAAGATGGGAGAGATCACTCACCAGTTACTATCATAGGCAAAACAGGCTCAATTTGGGAAACATTAACTTATTACAAATCAAATCAGAGTAAAGACTCCTCACGCTCTTCCCCTTCTTTGATGTAGGGTCTTTTCCACAGGGTGTCCTTCAGGAACAGGCTGCTCCAGCATGGGTGCCTGTGAGGTCACAAGTTCTGCAGCAAACCTGCTCAGGGGTGGGCTTCTCTCTCCATGGGACCACAGGTCCTGTGAGGAGCCTGCTCCAGCATGGGCTTCCCACGTACAAACCTAGTACAAAATCTTAGACAAAACCAAAGTGTTTCTCACATCACATTTGTCAGCTTATTGATTCACAACTGATATTTTCACTTTCCCCTCTGTTTTATGTTGGTCTGATGATTTTTTCCCCTTGCTTGTAACAGTTTAGCTGAAATAGTTACTTGCATACAAGTCTGTAATCTTTTTATTTTCACTGTTTTATGGCAGTTCTCTCATGTCTGTCTTCCTTCTTTTTCCCTTTCTTTTTGAACTGTTTTTCTTGTGATCACAGGGCTCAAGTAACAGACCCACAAGGGTGGCTTTCCTGTTACATGTCTTTACAGAATTAGGTTGGGTTTTTAATTTCAAATAGTCACGTTTTAAATTCTTAGATAGCAAGAATTTAAACACCAGTGCTTTTATTGTGAATTATTTTGGTTACAAAAATTTTAGAAATCAAACTGAAATTGAACCTGCCTGTCCTCTGTTTGCAAAATCTATTTTCTAAGGAAGGTGGGGATTGGAAATTATCTGACTATGAAGAGTGAGCCTTTATTGTTCTTGTTCTTGGGAACTACTAGGGAAATAGCTGAGATCTCAAGAGACCTCTCTTGAAAGGGAAGAGACTTAATTCTTGACAGGAGCAGAATGTACCAAAGAGCAAAGGGGTACAAAATTTCCCAAGATATATACTGAAGGCCTGTAAAGGAAGGCCCTATGTGCCCTAATTTTTTGATAATATAACCCTCTTTTTTTAGTTTATATAAATAGCAATAGGACAGTAAGATACAGAATGCTGAAGGAACATGCAGAGTAGTTATAGCCATCAAATTTATAAAAATTGTATACACTGATGAACCAGATTTTTGTGACTCTTCATTCCAAACAGTGTGAGGAGAAAGGGAAAATAGTGATTTCATACTAATCAGGGGTAAGTAACACTTAACAACTGGAAAATATAATCTATCTTAAGACATGCCCAGAACTAGAAGTTGCACAGAATATGATTTTAACCCCCTCCCCCATCTTTTATGTTAAAAGTGGGGGGAGAGAGTCATCACAGTGTTTATGGGAAACAGGGAGATGAAACTGCAATACATAAATATTACACTGAAAAACATGTGGAGAAGGAATTACTTTTGTGCTTAATTGAATGCTGTCCGAAAGAGGAAAATTTATATGGTTCATTTCTCAAGCTGATTTGACTGTATTGTACAGGTCACAGGCCCCCATTCAGGGGTGTAGTAGAAGTAATATAAGGAGTGAAACTAAAAGTTAGAAACATGTTTAAGTGCTATTAATATCATTAATTATATTAATTATTAATCATATATGCTATTAACTATTATTAACTATTAATGAGAATTATTAATTATCATTAATAATTATTATCATTATCATTAATAATTATTATCATTAATTATAGTTATCATTAATAGCTATCATTAATAAGTGCTATTAGTATCATTAATATCAGTCCTATTAATATCATTAAAATCCAGTAATTAATATAATTAAAATCCAATCTTGGTTTTTGCCCTTGTTTATTCCTATGCAGCCCAAAGTTTTATTAAGTTAACCATTGCTGGCAAACATAATGAGGATTGAAACCAGTTCCAAAAAAGTTTCACTCTGTCCTAACTGTTCAAAAGTGTTACATTGTGCTTGGTGAAGCTTGATTTATTGTAAGAATGCACTGTAGATCTGGACAACAGCCTCTGGACAAAGACTTGCTGAGAATGTGAAGCGTTAACTTTTGCATGTTAACTTGCTTATGAAATATTCTGAGCGTATTTAAGCTTATGATAGGTTGGGGTTTTTCATAAACATTGAAACTTGTTCCTTGGGGGGAACAGATGTGCTTTTCAATGGTTGGCCAAAAGTTCTCTATTTGCTTTGAGAATTATTATGTATTTCATTCAGCTACATTGCATTTTGCTACGGGCTCTTATTTTTTCCGTATTCTACTGCTGTTGTATATGCATGTGTAATGTTTTTATGTTTAACTTAGATGGGCATGGTAACAAGACAAAGGGCATCTATAAAATGCACTTTATTATCATAAATGTATTTGTAAAGTTTTTTTTTAAATATAACTTACTGTAAAACAAATTGGAGGACACTAAACGTGGAAAATTAAAAGTATGAAGGTCAATTAATTCTGAAAGCCATTCTTAAAGCTGACACCAATACAATGTGCATCATTACACAGGCTTTCATTTTGTCATTACATGGTTTTCTTTCGTTAACTACTGCTTTTCATGTGGAGAGTGGCTGAGTAATTTGTGCTGAACGAGGCATTGTCTTAAGTCATTGTTTGGACTTTATTTTGGACTAAGTTTTGTTTCCCCAAGTGGACACTGGTAGGTGGGAGAGAGAAGGTGACTCAGGGTCCAAAAAAGGAGGGAAAAAGCCTTAACAGGCAGGAAGGGGAGTTGGATGCTGCCACTGACATAAGCAATAGCAGCTTAGGCTCTGAGGGGAGAAATGGGGATGGCGTACGAAAGCAAGAGACTCCTCTGAGCCCTACAGGTCTCATGGGGAAGGACGAAGTACCCAGATTTAATCTGCTGATTTTCTTTCAAGCAGCTCCTCGTTCTCATCAGACCCAAACTGCTTAAAACGTAAGTTAAAAACATAGCTGCCAAACAGATGAACAGATGTGCGACTGAGAATTCGGAAGCATGATCACCAGTGAGAAAGTCTGTCATTTAACACTCCTGACCTCATCTTTCCCCATACTCTCACTTTTGCTGGCTGTGGAGAGAAAAGGCATCAAGAGTTGATGCCTCTGTACAAGTGGGGAGCACTTAATCAGGTGTTCAACTGCAGTATTTTCTCTTCCTTTGTAAAAAAAGTATACAACAACCAGGGAAAAGCTTTTTCGCCAGTGTCACTCCTGGCAAAGTGCTAAGGGTGACCCAAGAGGAGGTGCACAGCTCTCCCGAAGAGCAGCTCACTGGAGGGCAGCCGATGCCCGGAGGGCCCTGGCGCTGAAAGCCCGGAGCCCGGGCCCTCCCCTAGAAAGGGAGGGTGTACGATGGAGAGCTCCTCGGGGGCCAGTGAGAGCGGGGCAGGGCCGAGCAACTGCCATGGGGGAGAGCAACGGCTGTCAACATACCGGGGCTAAGCGGCGCCTCTCGCTTAGCGTTTTGGGGTGTTTGTTCTTTACTTGGTCACTGTCAGCAAACTGCAGGGGAAGGAATTTCAGACTTTCTCCTCAGCGCACGGCTGCCTAGAGGAAGAGCAGCCGCAGCAGGACACCGCTGGGTGTAACTGCTCTGCCTCACGGCGAACGAGCTCGGCCTGGAAGCGGGGCCAGGGGCTTGTTTACCGCTTTGCCCGCCGAGGCTAGCAGGGCAGCGTGCGGTACCTGTGTGGGGCGGCTCGAGGCGCTGGCCTCCCGCCCAGCGGCGGCGGCGGCGGCCCTTGACTCCCAACCTCGCGCTCGCCCCTCGCCGCTTCCCCTCCCCTCGCCGGCCGGCGGCGGCAGGAGCACTTACCGCCGCCGCTGACACGCCACGGCCCCGCCTCGCCCCCTCCGCTGTAGCGGGAGGGGGGGGAGAAAAGAGCAGAGCGTGAGCTCGCCTGCCTTCCCTCGCCTCCCCCTCGCCTCCCTTCCCTCAGCCAATCGGTGCGGAGGAAAAGCCCTCGTGCCGCTGACGCCCCCACGGGAGCCCCCCTTTTAAAATAAAGCGGCGGCGGCGGCTGCCGGTCACCCCTCGGCGTGCGGCGGGAACAACGCGGGGACGGGCGGGCGCGCGTGTGGGGCTAGACGGGCGCGAGCGGCGGGGCGGCCTCGGTCGCGCGCGCATACACGGACGGACGGACAAGACAGGCAGAGGGCTGCGGGATGCCCGCGGCGAGGGGCTGAGGGCGGGCGGGGGCCCAGAGGTCGTTGAGGAAGAGAGGAGAAAAGCGGGAGCGGCTCGCGGGGAGGATCTCGCGCCCACTCCGCGTCGCGGCTGAGGATGGCGCCGGTGAGCGAGCAGCTGGAGCCTCGGGGCGCAGAGGACCCCCCCATTGCTGCCGCCGACCCCCTGCCCGGCCCGCCAGCAGAAGAGCCAGCAGCAGCAGCAGCAGCGGCGGCGGCGGTGGCAGAGCCGCGGCGGGAGAACGGCGGCGAGTGCTGCTCCGAGAGTGGCAACCCGGCCGCACCGAGCGGTGAGAGTGGGGCTCAGCCGCGGGCAGAGACGGAGGACCCTGTGAGTTCGGGGTGTCCCGGGAGCGAGGGGCCTGAGCCCCCCGAGGGCGGCTGGGGCTGGGTGGTGATGCTGGCCGCCATGTGGTGCAACGGCGCCGTCTTCGGCATCCAGAACTCGTGCGGAGTCCTCTTCGTCTCCATGCTCAAGCTCTTCGGCGGCGGGGACGACAAGGTGCTGGCGTTTAAAACAGGTGAGGAGCGGCAAGGGAAGGGCTCGGTGTGGCCTTTTCCGCCTCGGCCTCCCCCCCTGTCCGGTTGCTTCGGCTGTCAGTGCTCGCGCCGCGCAGGGCTCTAAGGGCCGGCCCGAGGGCGGTGGCGGCGGCTGCTCGTCCCGCCCGCCCCTCTGGGCAAGCAGCGGGACCCCTCCGGGCGGTTGGGAGGGCCGGGCCGGAGCCTGCTCCGCCGCAAGCACATGGGGCCAGGCCGAGAGATTCGAAAATGATCGTTCAGCACGGCACAGAGAAGCTCCTCTGTCGTCACTGCGAGGTTTTGCGCTCGCAGCCGTGCCCCAGAGCCAGGGCTTGGGGCACCAAGAGAAGGTGCAGGGGAGAAGGTGCAGGGGGAAAAAAGCAGGTGTGCTCTGGCTGCTTTCACAGCAGTATTTTTAGGCATGTCATTGTGCATTATGGGAGTGCATACTCTTGGTCCCAGAAAGTTTTATTCCCCGCTCTCATTAGCCTGCTGAGAAGTCTAAATGATTAAGTAACAGTGGGGTATAGTGGCGCTTAAAATACGTCAAGAATGGGTTTAACAGTTGCCAGAAACGTCATTTAGATGTGGGGATTTACTGCTGTAAGCAGTATCCTAAAACTTACCAGTAAAGTTAATGATGTTTACTAAACTCTAAAGACATAGCGGTATTATCCCAACCAAATCTCCACTCTGCCATTACTGACTTAAATAATTCTGGACACCTAAGTATAAATTCAAAGGTGAATGTATATTCTATCTTGTGTAAGTTATCTTTGAGAAGTCTTGTGCTTTGACTTTGTAAGTTAAGGAAGTGCAGTTTTTGGCTCTCAATAATAACAAATTAAGAATTATAATTTATTATGGCAAATAATAATTAAGGTGGCTTATTTGAAAGGTAGTTTATGTATTATTAAAATGAAATGTTAAAGAAAACCAAACATCGTCTTTTATGCTTTTGTTCTTTACTAAAAGAAGGTGTTTCAGCTAAGTAGCACTGCAGGGATATAAGCCTTCTAGGAAATTTTCTCAGTACAGAGTGGTGTTACAGACCTTTAATAGCGTTTTGGAATTTGTCTTCCTTAGTATTGGGATAAATGGGCCTGAAGTTGAGATGTAGGAGACAAGGAAGCTAATTTTCCTCCTCCGAAACTTTTTTTTTGTCTTGTCTGAAGTAGAAAACCAGGGCAGGTGTTTAGACTGGAGTAAGAGAGCTGGAAAACTATGGTAGAGTGTAAAGTGATGTACTCTCCAGCGTTTGGACTGTCTGTGATGATGTACAAGGTGTATTGCAGGGTGTTCTTGAGGTAAAAAGATGGGCAGCTATGTATGTCTATGTGTCAGGTGTGGCAGTGCCCACTTTGAAGAAGGGAAATGCATATCCAGAAGTGGGTGCCGTGACTCCTTATCTTCTATAAGGTGCTGTGAATGTTTGTGTACTGACCTGGCAACTTCTGGCTGGTCAGAAATGCAGAAAACACCTGGTGGTTAATACATGGGTCTGTTCACAGTACAGAGGTGTAACTGCTTTTTCTGAGGAACTGGTCTTTTGAGATACTATTTGAGGCAAAATTCCTCTCCCTACCCTATGAGACTGCAGCAATCCAGCTCCAAGAGTCCTAACCACCACCAAAAAAAAAAAAGGTAAAAAATTTACTTTTTGGTACTAGTGCAGTAGTCAAAATAATCAACAAGAGGGGGACTGAAATTGTTCTCTCCTCCCTTCCAGAAGGCAAGAGATAACGCACCACTGCTGTTCGAGTGAGGAGAGATTGTTGGTGCGCTCCACCCATGTGTTTTGAAAATTTGCCCGAGTGGGGGGAAAAGTGGAATCAGAGTTTAGAGCCTAGTTGTTCTTGCATTCTGTTTAGAAGAGCAGGAAGAGTTCTGGATTCTGGATGCAGCCAGCACCTCCTGCATCACTACTTCTTTATTTTATTAGGGGTGAAGAAAATCCAGCCAACCTACAGCTGCATTTTGGTTTGCTCTGTTAGATGTGCTCTGGTTTGGGAGATGCAGAAGAACTAACTGCGTTTTTAAATCCAGATGGGTTTAAGTTGGGGAAAATAGCACAAGATGGCTACCTTGACTAGATGACTTGTGTGCATGGGAAGGAGGACCACAAGTACAAAAGTGCCATCTGCTAGTTAGCAGAACAGCAGATGAAAGAAGTGTCCTTCAATACTTGAAACTACACTGAGTCTGCACACCGTAAAGGCTAAGCAACTGCTGTCAAGCAATACTTTTGGTTCTTGAGTGTTGAACTTCATTGCCTTGAAACTGTTTGCTACTTTTTATCTTGTTTAAAGCGGGGCCAGAGTGAACTAAAATTCTGATACAACATTTAGCTTTCCGCCAAGGGGAGCTGCCGTCAGAAAGGGCAAGTTGCGCTTAATGTAACTCTTACTGAACACCCATGGATTAGCTGGCATGCTGTAGAAAGAAAAAGAATGATCAGTATGATGAAGTCAGTATGATTTTGGTGTTAGAAAAAAATCCAGCCAGATAATTTCCATGTTATTGATTATTGCATTTAATCTAGTTAGACTCTTGTGCTTGGACTGATAGCAACTCAAAACTGGCAGGTGGAGACTTGAGCTTGAGTCAGGTTTAATGAATTTGAAAACTGGGATTTGTAATGCAAGTTTCCTTGCTCTGTGGTTTTGTTTTGGAATACAAAGTTTAATATTCCAATCCATCTGGAAAAAAATTATTTCTTTAAAATCTGCAGTGCTGATTTTTGAGAGGCATGAATATTCAGATCATCTCTCCTGGGACCTCAGGTTTCTGTGGAATCTTGCAGTTGATCCAGAGTACCATAGACTTCAACTTTTTTTAACTACAGTATTACTTAGCTGTTGCCAGAAGAATATGTGTCGCCAGAGATTTTTTGGGGGCCTGCTCTTTTGGGACCAGCCAGTAGTTGTCCCTTGCCTGGTGTTTTCCTAAAAAAGAGAAATTAAATAGACTATAGTATGTACTATTTTGTTATCTCTTAATAAAATTTTGTAATCTCTTAATAATGGATGCCTATATATGTGTAGGGCAAAATGGGAGGGAATTTAGTAATAGGAGTATGTGCTTGTTTTGTTATTTCTTTAGTAGACTGATGGATGTTTATCAGTATGAAGGGCAAAATGGGGGGAGGCAGAAGGAAGGAGGATGTAGTTAAGTGACTGCCTTGCAGATAAGGAGTGGGAGGAAGTAAAAGTACAGTCAAGGCAGCAAGGCTATCTCCAGAATTCAGCATCAGCATTGGATAAATAAGATTAATAATTGTAACATTGTTGCAGGATTTAGGATTATTAACGGAAAAACTTGTGCTGTGGGTTATAGAGAGTTCACAGATGTCTTCAAGGGATATCTAATTATGGTTCACATTTTTAAAAAAAATTTTGAACCTAACTAGCACACAGTATTTTGGTATTCATGTTAGTAAAAAGCTTGTTTCTTTGCTTATGTAGTGCACTATGTAAGTAATTCCATTGTTTCCTTCTGTAGCCAGGTGTTTTTGTTCAAGAGCTAACTGGAGCTAACTACAGAAGAGGCTCTTAGTCCTTGGAAACTGGGCAGACTTGGTGTAGGCCTAAGCATTCAAGTGCAGCTGTGGTCTGATCGTCCTTGAAGGGACAGGTTTGGGCACTAGGGCCATTCCAGGTTCTGGCAGGAAGAGCACTTGGTTCCTCTCCCTGTTGGCATTGGCACAGGGGGGCATGGAGCACTGATCCAGCCCCTGTTTTATCTCACTTAGAAATCTAGCATTGAGTCCTGTGTTGTGCTCTCTGGATTGATATTATATAGGATTTTGTGTGTGCATGTATGCATGCCTGTTTTCAAAAGGCAAATAAATTCCGAGATTCTGGTTGCAACAGAGATTAAGAAAAAAAAAAGATAAAAGTACTAGTTCTACTAGTTTAATTACTCTGTACTCTGTGATTTATAGTGCTGGTTCTGTAACTTCACTGGGTTATTCACTCATCTGTTTGTTCACTTGTACAAATAGCCTTGCTCAGGGAGTATATACTGCTATTCCTGTTCTGCATACTCATGTTTGTTTTGCATTAGTA